TTTAAAGCAATTGCCTGAATCTTAAGCCAGCAATCAATACTTTGTTTCTAAAATTAAGCCAAGTTAGCCTGGGCCAGGTGGCTCATGCCTGTAATCTCAGCACTTTGGGAGGCTGAGGCAGGTGAATCACGACGTCAGGAGATGGAGACCATCCTGGCTAGCAGGGTGAAATCCCATCTCTACTAAGAATACAAAAAATCAGCCGGGCATGGTGGCATGTGCCTGTAATCCCAGCTACTTGGGAGGCTGAGGCAGGAGAATCACTTGAACCCAGAAGGCAGAGGTTGCAGTGAGCTGAGGTTGTGCCACTGGTGGGTGGATCACCTGACCTCATGAGTTTCAGAGCAGCATGGCCATTGTGGTAAAACCCCATCTTTACAAAAAATACAAAAGGAAAAGCCAGGTGCAGTGCCTAACGCCTGTAATCCCAGCACTTTGGGAGGCGGAGTCGGGTGGATCACCAGAGATCAGGAGTTCGAGACCAGCCTTGTTTGTAGCAGGAGCAGCCATGGGAAACGGATCTCTCGGACACTGAATACAGGAGGAAGGAGTTTATTTGGCCAGGAGCAAGGTGGCATAGTTGCCTAACAACCAAGCTCCCCTAACAAAGGAAGTTTCCTTCTTCATATAGGCTTATACTTTAGATGCTACACGTGGAAGAATCTTAGGTTTATAGCTTAACATATGAAAAGGGTCTCTGTTTACATCTTAGGAATTACATATGAAAAGGGTTTCAGTTTACAGTCTTAGGAATTACATGTGAAAAAGGGTTTGGGTTTACAGTCTTAGGAATTACATATGAAAAGGGTTTCGGTTTACAGTCTTAAGAATGAAAAGGGGAAATTGATCTGAGATGGCTGGGTCTCCCTCTTCAGTTAACATCTCTACTAAAAATATAAAAATTAGGCAGGCATGGTGGCAGGTGCCTGTAATCTTAGGTACTTGGGAGGTCAAGGCAGGAGAATCACTTGAACCCAGATGGCGGAGGTTGCAGTGAGCCGAGACCACACCATTGCACTCCAGCCTGGCAACAAGAGTGAAACTCCATCTCAAAAGAAAAGAAAATTCGCCAGGCCTTTTGGCACATGCCTGTGTTCCCAGTTGGCTTGGAAGTGGAGGTAGGAGGATTGCCTAAGCATGGGAGGCAGAGGATGCAGTGAGCCATGATTGCAGTCTACTCCAGCCTGGGTGACAGAGCAAAACCATGTCGAAAGAAAGAAGGGAAAAAAGAAAGAGCAAAACCATGTTGGAAGGAGAGAAGGAGGGAAGGAAGGAAGGAGAGAGAGAAGGAAGGAGGCCTGGTGTGGCAGCTCATGCCTATAATCCTAGAACTTTAGGAGGTCAAGGCAGGTGGATCATGATGAATTCAAGGCCAGCCTGGCCAACATAGTGAAACCCTTTCTCTACTAAAAAATACAAAAAGCCGGGTGTGGTGGCTCATGCCTGTAATCCCAGCACTTCGGGAGGCTGAGGTGGGTGGATCACCTGAGGTCAGGAGTTCGAGACCAGCCTGATCAATATAGTGAAACCCCATCTTTAAAAAAAAAAAATGAAAAAAAAAATTTAACAAATACAAAAAAATTAACCCCCTGGCATGTGCCTGTAAGCCCAGCTACTCGGGAGGCTGAGGCAGAAGAATCGCTTGAACCTGGGAGGTGAAGTTTTCAGGAAGCCGAGATCACACCACTGTACTCCAGTTTGGGCAACAGAGTGAGACTCTGTCACATAAAAAAATTAAATAAACCAAAACTTTGATGGTGGCCATGGGATTGGACGGGGCGGGGGTCTGGTTTTGGCAGGGAAACTCATTTGTTTTTTCTCCTTTTTAAATTTTTTGGTAAAGAAGGGGTCTCTCTCTGTTGCTCAGGCTGGTCTCCAACTCCTGGGCTCAATCCATCTCCTGCCTCTGCCTCCCAAAGTGTTGGGATTACAGGCGTGAGCCACTGTGCCTTGCCTGTTTTATTTTTTTATTTTTGTGGCATCGAAGTCTCACTGGCCCAGGCTGGAGCACAGTGGTGAGATGTCTGCTCACTGCAACCTCCACCTCCAGGGTTCAAGCAATTCTCCTGCCTCAGACTCGAGTAGCTAGGATTACAGGCACAGGTCTCCATGCCTAGCTAGTTTTTGTATTTTTAATAGAGATGGGGTTTCACCATGTTAGCCAGGCTTGTTTCAAACACTTGTCCTCAGGTTATTTGCCCACCTCAGTTTCACCAAGTTTTGGGATTAGGGGCATGAGCCACTGCACCTGGCCACTGTGTTTGTTTGTTTGTTTGTTTGTTTAGACTGAGTCTCTGTTGCCCAGGCTGGAGAGCAGTGGCATGATCTCAGCTCACATGTAAATTTTTGGTGCCACAGAAGTAGCACTCAAATGTAAATTTTTCTCAGCAAGGCAATTTACTTCTGTAGAAGGATGTGTCTCATAGATGAAGCAATGGCGAGTGTACACTTGGACAAGGGAGACGAAGGGGTTCTTTTTATTTTATTAAAAGACAGGGTTTCACCATGTTGGCCAGGGTGGTCTCGAACTCCTGACCTCAGGTGATCCACCCACCTTGACCTCCCAAAGTGCTGGAATTACAGGCATGAGCCACTGTGCCCAGCCAGGAAGGGGTTCTTATTCCTGACACAGGTAGCCCCTACTGCTGCGTCATTCCCCTAGTGACTAGGGCTAGACCACACAGTGTAAGCTAATTCCGCCTGCCTATGTTAAGGTGAGCAGGAGTATGGGCCATAGTGGCTGGATGAGTGGTTTGGTGGGAAAAAAGGGGTTAAGGAACAGGTAACTAAAGCTGATCCAGTTTAAAGCAGGTGATTAGGGTTGACTCAGGTCAAAGCAGGTGATCCAGATGAGTTGGGACAGAGCAGGAGACGGGGGATTGGTGGGGAGTAGGGGGTGGGAGGTGTGGAAAGATATGAACTACTGACTAGAACTCGTGTAAAAGGTTGTTTACTTAAACCACCAGGAACTGAAGTTTTAAAATGGAGGATAAAGAACTGAACCTACTGACATAATGATTCTTTGAAGAGAAACTTAGAACTCGTATGTAACATTATTCAAGCTAAAAAGAGATTCCAATCCAGTGAGAAAAGACATTTCATATAATTCTGTGAGGTCAACCGGTTCCATCAAGGAGAGATCCAGGGCCGTTAGGAACGCGTGGAGTGGACTCCGGGACAGCGCCCACCTGGGCACCCCGGCCCCCATCCCGTCCCGTCCCGTCCCCCACCACGCCCTGCCCGGCAAAAGGAGCTCGCCGGGAGAGCCAAGGGGGAAAGGGCCGCCCCGGGGGTCTTGGGTGGAGGCCCCGGCCCTGGCCCCGTCCGTGGGGAGCCCTAGCGCCAAGCGAGCTGTGGGGACACCAAGGAGGAGAAGCCCGGGCGTCCCAGCTCCGCCTTGGGCACCTTCCCTGAGCTCCTGGTGCGGAAATCCCGGGGCCCCGCCCCATCGTGGGCGCCGCTTCCATCTCGGGTGAGGCGCCGGCGCGGCCCTTCTCCGCAGCCGGGCGTCACCGCCGGGCGCCTTGCCGCATGTGTCAAGAACGCTAGAACTCCCTGGATACCTGCCGCCGTTAGCCGCCGTGGCCAGAAATCCGCGACGCCCCTGACAACGGATCCGGCGCTTTGGCACCGCAGAACTGACGTTGCCCCAAGTTGGCGCACAACCTCAGGAACCGCGTCCCAACCTAGCTCCCGTAGTCAGACGCTGCGCCCCCCTGCCTGGCTCCCGCCCCTTGTGGGTGCGCCCCCTGGGTCCGGTCTCGGAGCTTGCTCGGGCGTTCGCGGCGCTGACGTCACGGTCCTCGCGGCCAATCCGAGAGCCGTGCGCGGCGCGGCCTTTACGCGCTTCGGTCGCCTGCAGAAAACGGTGTGTGTCGCGCCTGCGCAGGCTCGCACGTGGAGGCTGCTCTCAGCTGATCGCTCGTCACTCACGGGTTGGGGAACTGGCGGCGGCGCGAGTTCTGTCGTGGCTTTTCGGCATCAACAAGGGCCCCAAGGGCGAAGGCGCGGGGCCGCCGCTGTCTTTGCCGCCCCTGCAGCCTGGGGCCGAGGGCGGCGTAGACCGCGGCTTGGGAGACCGGCAGGTGCCTAAGGATAAATGGAGCAACTTCAGGCCGGGCGCAGTGGCTCACGCCTGTAATCCCAGCGCTTTGGGAGGCCGAGGCGGGTGGATCACGAGGTCAAGAGATTGAGACCAACCTGGTCAACATGGTGAAACCCCGTCTCTACTAAAAATTAAAAGAAAATAATAATAATAATAATACAAAAAAGTAGCTGGGCATGGTGGCTCGTACCTGTAATCCCAGCTACTCAGGAGGCTGAGGCAGGAGAATTGCCTGAACCCAGGAGGCGGAGGTTGCGGTGAGCCGAGATCGCGCCATTGCAGTCCAGCCTGGGTAACAAGAGCGAAACTCCGTCTCAAAAAAAAAAAAAAAAAAAAAAAAAAAAAAAAAAAAAAAAAATTTGTGATGGAAATCTGTGTCATCTTAGAAAATTTTGAGACCCGATGCTTAGGCCTCACCGGTTAGTAGAATACCTACTTCCTGAGCTTGTTGGACGGTATTTGATTCTTACTCATTCCCTTTCTTGCCTGCACGTGCTTGAGAGCAGATCAGTGACAATAGCTACTGGAAGCTTAGAGGAAACGTATGTAACGTGAAAAAATAAAGGACACTTTAGCCATCACCTCACGTTTTGTTGAATTGGGATATAGCCTCCTCCTGTCCACATGGGGTGGGTGGCCTTCCTGATGTGACTCTCCAAGATCGCCCCTGTGGGGACAAAGTCCAACAAAGGCCCCAGGCTGTCTGCTGGGGATGGGGCATCATTATGCAAGGTCTGACTAGTAGGGAGGATGGGCAAGGCAGGGCTGGGGGCTTTGAGGTGGAGGCATGGCCGTGGATTCCAGAAAGTCCCTTGGCTCGTGTGCATGCCTGCCCAGCGGCACCTGCATATCCTAACACCTGGTCTTTGTGCCCCCTGTGTCCACAGGTTATGCCAAGGACGCCCTGAAACTGGCCGAGATGCAGGAGCAGACGCCGCAGCTGGAGCAACAGTCCAAGCTCAAAGTGGGTGGGGCCGGCGTGAGCAGGGAGGCCAGGGGCGCACATGAGATACAGGCGTGGAGATTGGTAGGGGCCAGTGCTGGTGGGTAGGACCAGGGGTTGGTACATGGGTAGCAGTGGGCCCAGGGCCAAGCTTGGGCACCTCATTTCACAGAAGGAAACAAGGGGGGGGGGTCAGAGACACTGCCGCAGAGCTGCCCAAGACGGAGCGCCAGCGTTGATGAGGGCATCACGTCATCCTGAGGGCGGGGGTCTTCTTGACCTCATTTCTTTGCACTCAGTAGGATTTTTTTTAGTTTGTTTTATTTTATTTTATTATTTTGAAGCAGAGTCTCATTCTCTTGGCCAGACTGGAGCGCAGTGGTGTGATCTCAGCTCACTGCCACCTCCGCCTCCCAGGCTCAAGCGATTCTCCTGCCTCAGCCTCTCGAGTAGCTGGAATTACAGGAATTTGCCAGTATACCCTGCTAATTTTTTGTATTTTTAGTAGAGACAGGGTTTCGCCATTTTGGCCAGTCTGGTCTCAAACTTCTGACCTCGTGATCCACCTGCCTGAGCCTCCCAAAGTGCTGGGATTACAGGCGTGAGCCAACATGCCCAGCCTGATTTGTTTTATTTTGTATTTTATTTTATTTTATGTTACTTTTTGAGACCGAGTCTCACTCTGTCTCCCAGGCTGGCATGCAGTGGCATGATCGTGGCTCACTACAACCTCAGCCACGCACGTTCAACCCCTTGCTTCAGCCTCCCGAGCAGCTGGGACTACAGGAGCCCACCACCACATCTAGCTAAGTTCTGTATTTTTAGTAGAGACAGAGTTTCACCAGGGTGGTCTCGAACTCTTGTCCTCAGGTGATTCACCTTGGCCTCCCAAGGTGCAGGGATCATAGAGCCATCACACCTGGTCCACTCAGCAGGCTTCTTAGAACAGGCACGAGCTGTGCCCTAAGCACGCTCCAAAAGGGCGCACCTGACCCAAGAGGGGAAGGTGGTGTCTGGCCCCACTCCCTGGGGCCTTCGTAGGCATCTGCTGGTGCTTTTCTGCCTGTGGGTCCGGACTCCTCCAGAAGCTGAGCCTGGGTGCACACAGCAGTCTGGGCATGGAGTCTCTGCCGTGCAGGAACGCGTGCAGACGCAGGAGGGGCTGTGAGGCAGTGCAAGCCCTGAGCAAGCGACAGGTGGTGAGCGCTGTGCTCTGCAGGAGTCTCAGGCCGCTGTGGAGCAGCATAAGAGCGAACAGATCCGGCTGCAGGCCGAGGAGGGAAGGAAGACCATAAGCGAGGAGACCCGGCAGCACCAGAATGTAAGAGTGCAAGAGGCCTCGGAGGAGGCCGCCAGGCTCTGGGGATTGGGGGGCAGGACTGGGAGCTGGGTGGGCCCCGGGGCTCTTAGTTACCTACTGATTGTGCTCTGAAGTCAGCCATCGGAGCTGCCCCTGGAACAGCCTTGCACAAACACCTAAGGCCTGTAAGGCCCCTTACTGCTGAGCCAGACGGGAGGTCCCCTGCCTCCACACGTTTATGTGACGCTGTCGGCGTGGAGGAGGCCCTGGAGCCCGGCTTAGTCAGCCCTGACTGCAGCTTCCGGATGAGATGTGTGCTTGCCACCCTTTTTCCTTCCACAGAGGGCCCAGTATCAGGACAAGCTGGCTCGGCAGTGCCACGAGGACCAGCTGAAGCAGCAGGTGAGGCCAGCCTCCCCTGCGAGGCGCCTGTGTCCCCAAGAACATAGGTGTCTTTCTGGGACCAGTCAGTGGATCAGAGGCCACGGGGCAAAAAAACTAGGGTTGCTGACAGCGGGGGCTAGTGCAGGGGAAGCTTTACTCGGACAGACAGGCACCGGCCTGTGTGTACAGGCACAGATGCACATGTGTGCACACATGTACACAAAGGACATGCAGGCCCATGTTTTAACAGGCACTCACATTGACACACACACACATCTTGGCACACACCCTGCGTGGCCTCCACAGTAGAGGCTCTCGAGGCACGCAGAGCCTCCTTGCCTCCTTCCTGGGGGCTTGGCTGAGAGTGAGCGTCTTCACGCTGGAAATGGCTGGTGAATGGCAGAGGTGGGTCCCTGGGCCCATGAGAAAAGCTTGGGGCTTGTCATCTTCAGCCCTGAGCTCACTGGCAGGGTTCACATGTTGCCTGTGGTGGGTATCATGGCTTTAAAATGTAATTGGCAGAAGACAGACCTTCCTTCAGTGCAGCCTGAATCACAGCAGTGGTATTGAAAGGTCTGCCCCGCAGTGGCCCTTGTCAGTGAAGTCGCAGTGCAGTGAACGCTGTTTCTGCTGCTGAAAAGTTTGGGCTCCTGAAGCCAGCCTATCCTGCCAAGTGTCACCTGTTTCTTTGTTAGGATGCGGCGTCTATAGACCCCCAGGTACCTGTGACGCTTGGAGCCCTCAGGTCCTGGGGCAGCCGCCACCTCTGGATTGGTGTTGAGTATTTTTCCGGTTTTAAAGCTTTTTCTCTTTTTCTGCATCTCCTTCTCAGCAACGTCTCAATGAGGAAAATTTACGGAAGCAAGAAGAGTCTGTGCAGCGGCAGGAAGCCATGCGGCGAGGTTGACAGTCTGTCCTGGCTGGGGCAGGGCGGCTGTGGCATGGAGAGCCAGGGCTGCTTGTGGACCTCAGCGCCCAGCAAACGCTTCCCCGGCATGCACTCTGGGCCTGAGTTCTGCAGTATGGCACCTTATCTCTACAAATGCAGTGGGCAAAGCATTCTCAGGCTCCGTGGGGTGGGGCTCCCTCTTGGAAGTCACATCTGTCTGTGCTGGACATCAGAGTCCATGCAAGGAGTGCAGATGTTTAATTTGATGGGAAGAACATGGGCCTGTTTATTTTTTTTTTTTAAGATGGTGTCTCTTTCTGTCACCCAGGCTGGAGTACAGTGGTACAATCTCAGTTCACTGCAACCTCGCCTTCCGGGTTTACGGGATTCTCCTGACTCAGCCTCTCAAGTAGCTGGGATTACGGGAACCTACCACCAAACCTGGCTAAATTTTTTTGTATTTTTCTTTTCTTTCTTTCTTTTTTTTTAAAGATGGGGTTTCTCCATGATGGCCAGGCTGGTCTTGAACTCCTGACCTCAGGTGATCCACCCACCTCGGCCTCCCAAAGTGCTAGGATTACAGGCGTGAGCCACCATGCCTGGCAATTTTTTTGTATTTTCTGTAGTGACAGGGTTTCACCATGTTGGCCAGGCTGGTCTCAAACTCCTGACCTCGTGATCCACCTACCAGGGCGTTCCAAAGTGTTGGGATTACAGGCATGAGCCACGGCGCCCGGCCTAGAACATGGGTCTTTACCGTCCTGGTCTCGGTGGGGATCACAGGTATTTGGTGACACATGGCATTTGTTGGCAAGAGCTCCAAGCAAATGTTTGTCACTACTTTTCACCAGGGGTGGGCTTGTGGCGAGGTGTGTGTATTTAATACATCAGTAGCCGGACACATGGCACATCACGCTCTCTAGAGTTCTGACAGCTGTGCTTCTGTGTAAGAGAGGGCTTCCTTGGTAACCCCACGTTCTGCTTAGCTGCTTTAAACGCCTCATCCTGAGAAGGTGCCTGGGTCTCCTGGTCAGATTTTAGGGGACTTTATTCATGGGCAGGGCCAGCCTGGGGCGCTGTCCCTGCCAAGGCCTGTGTGTGTGTGTCTGTCTATGGAGTGGGCCTTTCAGTGGCATGGCCTGTCTAGCATGTGCCTGTTGGTGGCATGGGCCTGTCCACAATGTGGGCAGAGGCAGGCGTGCTGCACTGCGTGACAGAGCTTTTCTGCCTCTTTCTGGGGCAGCCACCCTGGAGCGGGAGATGGAGCTGCAGCATAAACACGAGGTGCTGCAAGTGGAGGCTGAGGCCCGGGCGCGTGCCAAGGCCGAGCGGGAGAATGCAGACATCATCCGGGAGCAGACCCGCCTGGAGGCGGCCGCGCACCGCCAGACCGTCTTGGGAGTCCATGAGGTGAGTGTTGCCCAGACCCAGGTCGGCCGCAGACGGAGCCCCCGCAGATGTGAGTTGCTGGTCCCTGGGCGCTCTCTAGCTCTTTCAGGCCTGGCAGCCGCAGGCTTGCTTCTTGGTGGGGCACTGCCCCTCTGTCCTGGCAGGGCCGGGTTGCTGTGTTAGAGCTTGATGGTCAACCTGCTCTTGTCATGTGACTCAGGTCTTGGTGTCCCTCCTGGTCACACCGCCGCCTTCCCCTGCAGGATGGCTGGCACCTTATTTGGGGAAGGATTCCATGCCTTGGTGACAGACTGGGACAAAGTAACAGCCACGGTAAACACGTGTGTGCCCGGCAGGGAGGGCAGGCGGCTATGGGGGCCTCCTGGAGTCTCAATCCTGTCCCTGCTGGCTCTGCACAGGCCCTGACATTCTCCCGGCACAGAGGAAGCCCACGTTGGACCTGCTGGTCATGCTGCTCCTCCCTCCTTGAGCTGGGAGAAAAACGCATTTGCCAGCCTGGGCAACACAGTGAAACCCCATCTCTATGGAAAATAATATGTTAGCTGGGTGCGGTGGGGGCACCAGTGGTCCTGCTACTCAAGTGGCTGAGGTAGAAGGATCACTTAAGCTCAGGGAGGTTGCAGCTGCAGGGAGCTCAGATTGCACCACTGCACTCCATCCTGAGTGAGAGAGACCTTGTCTCCAGAAAACGGCTGGGTGAGGTGGCCCACACCTTAATTCCAGCACTTTGGGAGGCTGAGGCGGGTGTATCTTGAGGTCAGGAGATAGAGACCAACCTGGTTAACAGGGTGAAACCCTGTCTCTACCAAGAAATGCCAAAAATTAGCTGTGCGTGGTGGCATGTGCCTGTAGTTTCAGTTCCTCAGAAGGCTGAGGTAGGAGTATCACTTGAAACGCGGGAGGCTGAGGTTGCAGTGAGCCGAGGTCTCACCACTGTACTCCAGCCTGGGGACAGAGGGAGGCTTCGTCTCAAACAAACAAACAAAAAAAACGCCGGGCACAGTGGCTCAAGCCTGTAATCCCAGCACTTTGGGAGGCCGAGGCGGGTGGATCACGAGGTCAAGAGATCGAGACCATCCTGGTCAACATGGTGAAACCCTGTCTCTACTAAAAATACAAAAAATTAGCTGGGCATGGTGGCACATGCCTGTAATCCCAGCTACTCAGGAGGCTGAGACAGGAGAATTGCCCGAACCCAGGAGGCGGAGGTTGCGGTGAGCCGAGATCGCGCCATTGCACTCCAGCCTGGGTAACAAGAGCGAAACTCCGTCTCAAAAAAAAAAAAAAAAGGGGGGGGCAACCCCAATGCCATTTTGCAAAACTCTTCTGTATTTCTCATAAAACCTTGAGAGTTCGAAGTTGACAGATTCCTCTCACATTTAAAGCCTCACTCTTGTGCCCAGGCTTTGGCCTGCTGTGGTGGCGCACCACGTCACACCCGGCTGCATCCTCCGTCCCCCGCTGGCCAGCACGTAGTAGGTGCCTGGCACGCGATGCGCAGTTGCTCAGCCATGGTGCTGGCGCCCAGAGCTGACTGCAGTGCCTGCCTGTGGCCTCATCAGTGTGACGGTGAATGTCGCAGGTGGTGTTGACGCCTGTATTGTTGACAAGGTGTCACGTGAGGACATGGGGAGCTGCTTAATGCACCATTGACTTTTGTTTGTTTTTAGAGACAGGGTCTTGCTCTGTCACCAGGCTGGAGTGCTGAGGTGCCATCGTGGCTTACTGCAACCTCCGCCTCCGGAGTTTAGGGAATTCTGCCTCAGCCTCCCGAGTAGCTGGGACTATAGGCGCTTGTCCCCACGCCTGGCTAATTTTCCTATTTTTGGTAAAAATGTGGTTTTTCTCCAAGTTACTTCTGACCTCAGGTGATCCACCTGCCTTGGCCTAGCAAAGTACTATGATTACAAGCATGTGCCACCACATGGCCACTTTTTGTATTTATGGTAGAGAAAGGGTTTCACCGTGTTGGCCAGGCTGGTTGTGAACTCCTGGCCTCAAGTGATCCCCACCCATCTTGGCCTCTCAAAGTGCTGGCCTAAGATGGGTGAGCTGAGCTTCCGGACCTGGCCTAATATATATATATATATATATATATATATATATATATTTAGTTTGGCTGTTGTTGCTTAGGCTGGAGTGCAATGATGTGGTCTTGGGTCACTGCAACCTCCCTCTGCCTCCCAGGTTGAAGTGATTCTCCTGCCTTAGCCTCCCAAGTAGCTGGGATTATAGGCACGTGCCACCATAGTGGCTAAGTTTTTGTATTTTTAGTGGAGATGGGGTTTCTCCTTATTTATTAGGCTGGTCTTAAACTTTGGCCTCAGGTGATCTGCCTGCCTTGGATTCCCGAGGTCCGGGGATTGAAGGCATGAGCCATCACACCAGCCGGCCTAATGCATTTATAAAATGAGTTAGAGATTTCAGGTGAGCCTTGTTTTCCAGGAAGAACCATTTTTAGTGGCCAAGAAGGTAGCAGAGGGTGTGGCCCTGTGACATACCTGGCTGGGTCTGCCCAGGGCCCTGCTCAGCGGCTGGGGCTTTGTAGGGCACTATGACGGCCCTGCCAGCCTCCTGTAACCAAGTGGCTGTGGGATGTGGGGCGGGGAATTCAGGTTCCTGTGCTGCCAGCACACAGCGCTGTGCCTCTCCGAAGGGCCTAGAGAGAGTCAGAGCAGCCACGTGCGTCTTCTGCTTAGGGAGGGAACGAGGGAGGGAGGGAGGGAAGGAGGGAGGGAGGGAGGGTGGGGGCAGGTGTGCCAGTGTGGTGTCTCTGCTGCAGGCAGCCGGGCTGACGCTGCTGGCTGTTGGGGTCTACTCTGCCAAGAATGCCACGGCCGTTGCCGGCCACCACGTCGAAGCTCAGCTAAGGAAGCCATCCCTGGTGAGGGAGACTTCCCGCATCATGGTGCTGGAGGCTGGGGCACCCCATCTAGGTAGCGGCGCGGGCCTGGCCCTCCCTGAGTGGTTTCTGGCCGAGTCCCTTCTGCCCCTTGAGCAGAGCCTGCGCACACCCTCCCGTCCCTTTTTTCCGGATAACGATCCCTGAATGCTGCTTCATGCGTGGGTTTTCCTGTCCAGCGATATAGCTTAGAAGTCTGGTCAGTGAGACCCTCCCCCGTCTGCCTTAGTCTCCCCTGCTTGGGCTCTTGACGGAGCTTGGGTGCACACCGGGGTCCATGCAAGTCCCGAGACTTGGGTGTGCCGCCATCTGTAAGGGAAGCTGCTACAGGCCACGGTGTAGTTTGGCGGCTGCTGTCCGCAGGGCGATGGCGGCGTCTCCGCAGGTCACTCGGTGAGTGGTGAAGAAAATAAAAGCTAACAAGGAATCAAAAAATGCCCCCAATCCAGCAACAGGCTCTGTCTGCCAGCGGGTGGGGTTCCAGCTCCTGGCCGGTCCTGGCTGTGCTTCAGGGCAGTTCCGTATCTGTGTGTGAGCGAGCGTGTCTTTACGTCGGTGGCTGTGCTGTGGCCTTGGTGAGTGACCCAATGGCGCTTTCCCTTCCCCACCGGCAGGTCAGCCAGCGACTCCTCCGTCGGCCCCAGGACGTGCTGGAGGGCCTTGTGCTCAGGGTAAGTAGGTGTGCCTTGGCGGGGGAGGTACCCAAAGAAGTCCCCAAAGTTGGGCGTGGCTGTGGCCCTTGCTGGTGCTCGTGACACCCAGAGGTTTTTGGCTCCTGAGTTGCGACTACCTGGGCGCTGGCGGTAGTTGCTGCCGTGAGCTGTGTGGCTCCTTGAGAGGCAGAGTCCCCCGCCCCTGAGGCTTCCATGGGGGCAGAGTTAGTCCCTCAAGTCCCCATCTTTTCTGGCAGCCCAGCCTGGAAGCACGGATGCTCAACCTTGCCATAGCAACAAGGAACACCAAAAAGAACCGGAGCCCGTACAGGAACGTCCTGCTGTACGGGCCGCCGGGCACCAGGAAGACGCTGTTTGCCAAGGTGAGCGCGCCTGGCTTTGCAGGTTGGTCAGGGGCCGTTGGAGCGTTATCTGCCTGCAGGGGTCCGCGGGGCTTGAAAAGTGGACCTCCCTTAGGCCTTTGCCCACCCTCGTGTTGGCTCAGGGTGCTGATGTGTGGGCAGCAGCACCTCCCATCTTCCAGGCAGGGGCACCAGGGAGGGGTTCCACACTCCTGTTGGAGTGTTCAGGCTTTGCAGAGGCAGAGAGGACATCTGTTCTGTCTCCCCCACCCTTCCTATGCAGAAACTCGCCCTGCACTCAGGCATGGACTACGCCATCATGACAGACAGGGACGTGGCCCCCATGGGTCGAGAAGGCGTGACCGCCATGCACAAGGTGTTCAACTGGGCCAGATCCAGCCGGCGCGGGTGAGACGCCCCCACAGCACGCACATAGGCCCTTCGCGGCGGCCCAGCAGCCTGCCTTCTGGGAATGGGGGTGTCCAGGTGGCTTTCGGGGACCTTGTCTTTCTGCACCTCTGTCCTTGCAGTCATGCCTGGTGGAGAATCCCTAGGAGGGAAAGGCCCCTGAGTATGGACCCTGGTGGGCACCAGGCCCCCAGCATGCAGAGGCTGCCAGCGAATACTTGGCTCAGGGCAGGAGGGAGGGAGGAGGGTGGGTGCCGGAGAGAAGGGTCTTCACAGCTGCAGGGGAGGCTCCCCCACTGCCGATCCTCCCTCGAACACATGTGCAGGTGGGCGCTGGGCACTGGATCCTTTCTACAGAAACATTTGAACGTTAGCTGAAGACAGCATAGCATGCATCCTCAACAGCTCCCACAGTGACCGCGTGCAGAGCACCGCTGGGGCCGTTTGTTGCCCTTGTGTGCGGTTGGTTTCCCATGGCCTTCTGAGGCCAGAGCGTGGTCAGCTGCCCGGAGGTCGAATGGATCGGCTTCTGTCGGATCCAAAAGTTAGGGCCTGTTGGAACGGAGCCCACACCTCGTGGGGATCTGCCCACTCGGCCTGCTTCTGATGTGGCTGGATGCTCCTGTGGGCTGATCCTGATGTGGCTGGATGCTCCTGTGGGCTGCTTCTGACGTGGCTGGATGCTCCTGTGGGCTGCTGCTGGCATCACACTCGCACGCTTGGCCTCCCGTCTCGTTCACAGCCTCCTGTTCTTCATGGATGAAGTGGATGCCTTCCTTCAGAAGCGAGCCACTGTGAGTGTCACTAAGCCTCTGTCCGGCCACAGGTGTGTGGTGAAGTGGGTGCGGCTATCATTCCTGGCTAGGCCCCAGTCTGCTGCTTCGTTTTTGTTTTTTTTTTTTTCTGTAAGTTTTGTGTAAAAGACAGCATTTTTTAGTGCGGCTTAAAGTCAAGGTTTGGTCTTTGGGGTTTATTTTGTTTCTTGAGACGGAGTCTCACTCTGTTACCAGGCTGGAGTACAGTGGCACGATCTTGGCTCACTGCAGTCTCCACTTCCTGGAGGTTCTCCTGACTCAGCCTCTTGAGTAGCTGGGACTAGAGTCACCTGCCACCACACCCAGCTAATTTTGGTATTTTTAGTAGAGACAGGGTTTCGCTATGGTGGCCAGAATGGTCTCGATCTCTTGACCTAGTTATCTGCTTGCTTTGGCCTCCCACGGAGCAGTTACACTATGTCTGATCCACCACGCGTGGCCTGTTTTTATTTTTGTTTATTTGAAACAAAGTCTCACTCTGTCCTGTAAGCTGGCTTGCAGTGGCACAATCTAGGCTCACTGCAACCTCTGTCTTTTTGGTTAAGGCAGTTCTCCTGCCTCAGCCCCCTGAGTATCTAGGATGACAGGCTTTTGTCCCCAAACCCAGTTAAGTTTTTTTGTATTTTTTGTAGAGATGGTGTTTCACCATGATAGGCTGGTTTCTGTCTCCCAGGCTGGAATGCAGTGGCTCCATCGCAGCTCACTGCAGCCTCTACTACTCAAGTTCAAGCAATCCTTCTCAGTAGCTGGGACTACAGGAGCGCACTGCCACACCCAGCTAAGTTTTTGGTAATTTTAGTAGAGATGGAGTTTCCCCACATTGCGCAGGCTGGGCTCAAACTTCTTGGCTAAGTAGAGTCACCCGCCTTGACCTTCTGACCTCCTGAAGTGCTGGGCGTAGGTGGTTGGTGAAAGGTGTGTGCTACCAGAGAGGGCACATGGTTATCCCCATGCCAGTTTCTGTCAGGTGACGGTGTCGTGAGAGGATGGTGTGCGGCTGCCCCTGCACCCTGGGAGATGAATCGTGCCTCTGGGAAGCACAGCTGGGATGGGGCAAGGGACCCAGTCAGCTGTCCGGAAGGATCCCCTGACCTGCGCTGCTTTTAGGCATCTTGGTGCACTCCTGAGAATGGCACCCAGTGGGGGTCCCTACACCCTGACCCATGGGTGCCTCCCCTTGGGGACTTTGCTGGCAATGGGATTGGGAGCAACCAGTCCATGGCAGAGGAGCTGGACCTTGAGGCTGCCTGAAGTGACACCGAGGGCCACAGGCTCAGTAGCTCCAGCCTCCGTGTGCTGGATGCCAAGGCCAAGAGGCACTTAGGGCATCTGTAGCATCCAGGGATCTGTGCCTGGGAGGACAGAATGGTGGGGGCAGGGGTGGTCTTGGTGCCACCACCCATGTGCCCCAAGGTGGGCAGTGGCGGCCTCTGCCCTGGATGCCTGTGAGGGTCAGGGTCTGAGGTGCATTGTGACCCATGGGCCCTGCATGGCCACGTCTCAGACGCGCAGTGGGTCTGCACATCCCACCCTGCCTCGGGAGCTGCCCTGCATCTTCAGGCAGAGGGACTCGACCTTGAGATTCTGTTTTTAGAAAGTCATTGAGAAACAGCAGTACTGAGATGCAGGCAGGACTGTGGACACTGCAGGGGCCTGTCTAGGTGTCCACACGCGTGCTGGGCTCTGCTGCGGTGCAGGAGGCCTGTTTCACCCTGGCGCTTCTGGCTTGGCCCCTCCTCACCTCTGGGCCCTGGCATGCTTTGTGGGTGAGGGGTTCCCATAACTGCCTTTCTCAGCTCCCTCTGTCCCCACTAGGACATGGCGTATGCCTCCGAGGACGGGCTTCTCACTGAGGCCATGATGGATGCCTGCATGCAGAATGCTGTCCAGCAGCACCAGCAGAATATGCACTGGCTGAGGTTTGGAAATACACCCAGGAGAACATTGATAGTCCCAGCTGGGCACCAGTGCCCCTGCGTGTTGTGTCCAGCAGCACCAGCAGAAGATAGGCCGGCCGAAGGCGGAGGGGCCTGGGCCGGGGGACAGGTGCCCTCAATCCTGAGTCCACTGCGAGACCCACACCTCACAGACCCTGGCAGCAGACCCCTCCCACCCCCACATGTCCGGCCCCTGCACACGTAGGAAGTACTCCTGGGTGGGTCCAGGGCTGCCCCGACGCCCCTGCGCAGGAGCACATCTTGTGACTGGGAGACAGAACCTGGCTGGGGTGTCCGAGGCCACACCCAGCTGGCCGGTCCAAGCCTGTGGCGGGAGCTGGGGTCTGTTCATCTAATGAAGTCCCACAGGCGTCTCACCACTGTGTGTGTCTGTAGGCTGACACAGGGCAGGGTTTCAGAAGCCCCTATCCTCCCCCTGGGGTCAAAGGTGACAGAAGAGGCAGAGGCCAGAGCTTTCTGGAGAATTTACTGACCACAGAAAAGTGGGTTTCACATGAGGCACCAGCCACAGAAGGGCCGGGAGTCTGGTGCCTGGGACTGGCCTCGTGTGCCCCACCCGCGGCTGTGCACACTCAGGTACCCCCCTGGCCTCCCTCCCCTCCACCAGACCTGGATCGGGCCAGACAGTGGACGCAGCGTACAGGGAAAAGACAGTGGCTTCAAACATGCTGGTGTGACCGCTTAAGGCCACCCTGAGTTCTCTGAAGCAGCCTCCTGAGCGGGCTGGTCGGGAAAAGGGCAACGGGTCCAGCCAGGCCTGGGTCACAGGCCATGGGCTGCGGAGGCCTGAGTGCGAAATCCAGGCAGACAGCAGGACAAGCCACTGGCTAGGGTGTCTGTCCTCTCTCAGCACCTCCCTTGGACCTGGAGCTCGCAGGAAGCTGCTGCAGGTGGAAGAGACCTCCCCTGGAGACGGGTCAGGATGGCGGTCCCCATGGCCAAGATTACAGTCGCCTGCCTGCCCCCGGCTGTGGAGGCCGCTTGGAGCAAAGCTGGGCTGCTGGTGTCACAGGGAGCCCTGCTGGCACGGGACCAGCCCCTCCCATGCACTTCCCTGTCTACTGGGTCCTTAACTTCACTGCTGCCACCCCGCCGGCCGGGCTTCCAGCTTCTGGGTTTTTTTCCTGCTCCTCTGTCTCTGGGAGGTGCTGCTAGAAGCTGCGGGGGCTCTGCCTAGCACCCTGTTCTCTCCCTTTTTTGGGGGACTCCCCTCAGCTTCCTAGTTAGGCCTCTGAGGCCTGAGTGGGACCTGTGAGCTGTGTGTCACTTCAGGCAGCATGCTCGCAACTCCAGTGCTGGTCACTAGGTGCCCAGGCTCGCAGGCCTGGGACCCGGGCCCTACCTCTTCTCAAGGGGTAGAATCTCCTGCATGCAGCCCTTGCCCCTGTCCTGTTCTCCAGGGTAATGGCAGATCTGAGTTCATGGTTGCCTGAGGAGATGACCCCTTGCACACTGAGCCCAGGTTCAGCCCACAGAGCACCCTGCTGGCAGCAGCGGAGCCCCAGGGGCTCATTCCTGATGGCTTCTGTGGCTTCTGTTGATGGCTCAGTCAAACTGATGTGAGAAGCTGGAGGAGCTCCACGTGTGCAATCCCAAAAGGACAAAGCGGGGGGCCCCGGCCACAACACCGCTCCCCACATACCCTTCCGGCAGAGGCTCTACCTCCTCTGCTCATCTCTAGACAGCAAGGCCCAGCACAGCACGAGGCCTCAGAGAGGGTGAAAAGGCACTCCTGCCTGCTTCTCCGTGCCAAAAAATGCCCCTTCCAGAAGCCCTCATCTGAGAAGGGCCGCTCCTTATGTAGCCCCAGGCATTTTAAAGTCCTAGAATTTTCACCAAGTCTTGGAACAGCTCGGCTCCGGGAGTGCTCGGTCCAGACCTCTGTTGGCCAGCTGTCCCCGTGGCTCCTCCACCTCCCCTGACACAATCCTGGCCCCGACTTTGTCCACTCAGGGTGCTGAGCAGGGACTGATACCCGCCAGGACATTCTCACTAAGGAATTGGCCACTTGACGGGGTCACCGCACACTTTTCGACATGCACCCGAAAAACAGGAAGGGCCGTGCTGCAGTTGCTTCTAGTTGAGACAAGAAGACCGGGTTTTGATCCAAGTGGCAGGGGTTCAGAAGGCCAGGGGTGGGCGGGGCTGGGGAGACCCCGAAGGGATGCTGCTCTCATATCTGCACCAGTTTTCACCCCCTCTGTGAGCAGGGCTTCACATTTGAGGAGCAAACCTGAGGATTTTACACTGACTACAAGCCAGCCTGGTCTCTGGTAGGTTTCGTGAGGTCCTCCGATGGACAGGCCGGTACTGGCCACTGGCGGGAGAGGCTGAGAGGGCTGAAGTTCACACCCAGGCCACCTGAGCAGTGGAGTAACAGCCCTCCAGCGTGTGAAGCTCTCCAGACAGAGCCGTTTGTGCGAAGCTGGAGACACCTGGGGTCTGAGTCCACGTTTCTGGGAAGTGGGGTGTCCAAGAGTGGGCCACGCTGCTGGTAGCCACCCAGTCAAGCTTTTGCCTCCCTGTTTCCATAGCGACAGTAATAAATCAAATCCTTGAAGCACAGCCCACATGACAGCCTCTTGCCAGAGAGCGGACAGTTTAGGAAGCTCAGCTCCAGTGCGGTAACTGGCTCCTGCTTTTTTTTGTTGTTTTGTCTTAATTAATGCATTAGTTAGGTTGTGTGTTACTGTTTTTAAAAGCTTATTTTTTTTGAGACGGAGTCTTGCTCTGTCACCCAGGCTGGAGTGCAGCGGTGCAATCTCAGCTCACTGAAACCTCTGCCTCCTGGGTTCAAGTGATTCTCGTGCCTCAGCCTCCCAAGTAGCTGGGATTACAGGTGCCTGCCACCATGCCTGGTTAATTTTTGTATTTTTGGTAGAGACAGGGTTTCGCCATGTTGGCCAGGCTGGTCTGGAACTTTTGATCTCAGGCGATCTGACTGCCTCGGCCTCTTGAAGTGCTGGATTACAAGCATGAGCCACCACTTCTGGCCTCTCCTGCCTTTTGTTTTTTACTTGATTTTTAAAACTTATCATTTTTGAGACAGTGTCTGACTCTCCTACTTAGGCTGGAGTGCAGTCATGCGCTCCTAGCTCACTGCAGCCTCCATCTCCCAGGCTCAAATGATCCACCTCAGCCCCCCAAGTTGCTGGGATACCCCGCCATAGTCAGCTAATTTTTGTATTTTCAGTGGAGATGGGATTTTGCCATGTTGCCCAGCCTTGTCTTGGACTCCTGAGAGCAACTGATCCATGCGCCTCAGCCCCCCAAAGGGCTGGAATTGCATGTGGAAGCTACCACACCTGGCAACATTCTTCTATTATTATTATTATTATTATTATTTTGAGACGGAGTTTCGCTCTTATTATTATTATTATTATTATTTTGAGACGGAGTTTCGCTCTTGTTACCCAGGCTGGAGTGCAATGGCGCGATCTCGGCTCACTGCCACCTCCGCCTCCTGGGTTCAGGCAATTCTCCTGCCTCAGCCTCCTGAGTAGCTGGGATTACAGGCATGTGCCACCATGCCCAGCAAATTTTTTGTATTTTTAGTAGAGACGGGGTTTCACCATGTTGACCAGGATGGTCTTGATCTCTTGACCTCATGACCTACCCGCCTCGGCTTCCCAAAGTGCTGGGGTTATAGGCTTGAGCCACCGTGCCCAGCCTCTATTTTTATTATTATTTTTTTTAAAAAAGATGGGGTTTCACCATGATGGCCAGGCTGGTCTTGAACTCCTGACCCCAGGTGATCCACCCACCTCAGCCTCCCAAAGTGCTAGGATTACAGGCGTGAGACACCGCGCCTGGCCAAAATCCTTTTTAGAGATAGGAGTCTTACGATGTTACCCAGGCTGCTCTCAAACTCCTGACTTCAAATGATTCTCTTGCCCTGGCCTCCCACAGTGTGGGACTGCAGACAGGAGCCACTACTTTCAGCCGGGCACTGCTACTTTTATTTGCCTCTCATGAATCAGTGCACTTTGGGGAGTGCTGGTAGGGGCTGGCGGGTTTCAGGGAGCCCTATGGAGAGCTGGGAGCCCTGCTTTTGGTGGCTGCTTGGGGGGGCACCAGGAGCTTAAAGCCCCACACTGGGTGCTATGGCTCAGGAGGGCCAGGTTGGGCACCTCTGATTTTGGCTGTGGCAGGGCCTGCCCAGTGGGCTCAGGCTGCAAACGGAACTAGTGGGTCCTTTTGGGAGCTGGAGAGAAAGAATGGAAATGGGACCAGCCCCTCTCTCATGAAGGCCAGGGCCCCGAGAAGAACAAGACTGCAGAGTGATGTGGGGGGCTGGCAGTGACTTCATGACCACACTGTTCCCAGGTGTTAGAGGGCACGCTTCTGCACAGGCCTTGTCTATGAAAGACATGTGGCCGGCCACTGCAGCCTCGGTCCTGGGAAGCCCTGGGGCTGGGTCACTGGGAGCCGGAGGCCACACTTACAGGCGACAGTCCTGGCGTGCCAGGCAGCTCCTGTCCTCAAAGGTCTAGTCAGATGCAGAGAGCTCAGAAACCACACGCACTGCCTGGATTCGGGGGTCAGACCGCTCTACCCACTGCCTGGGTGGGGTCTCCTCTGGGACTCCAGCCCTGTTCCTGTGGGCCCAGGCTTCTGGAGGCAGCTGGGATTCTGCCTTGGCTCAAGGTCAGGCTGGAGGCCAGGCTGTCCACCTGCGTCTTGAACCTGCATGACTCCTCCGGGTCTTCAGTGCTGGAGGACTCTCTCAGAAAAACTTTGTTTCTGGGACAGGGCAGGCTGCAGGGGTGGTCAGGGGGAATCCCAGCAGCGAAACAGCACAGTGCAATGGCACAGAACCTCATACGGCAATAACATAAAATGCTTTCTTAACTTTGTGTCTTTAGGAAGGATGTGGGGTGTGGGTTTAAGCAGCAAACAGAAGAGGACCCTGGGCATTGTACGGGTCCGTCAGAGAGCAGACCCCTGGGAGCTGCAATGCTTGGAGGGAGGTGCTTTACCTCTCCTCACTCTCTCAATTACTCTCTCTCTCCCTCATTTTCCTTTCAGAAACAGGTTCTTACTCTGAGCCAGGCTGGAGTGCAGTGGTGTGATTACAGCTCACTGCGGACTCGACCTCTCAGGCTCAAGTGATCCTCCTGTTTCAGCCTGTCCAGTAGCCATTCCCTACTTGGCCCTAATTAGCCCCAAAGTTGTGCACCACCACACCCCACTAATTTTAAAGATTTGTTGTAGAGACTGAGTCTTGCTATGTTGCCCAGGCTGGTCTCGAACTCCTGGCCTCAGGAGATTTTCCCACCTCTATAGGCATGAGCCCCCAAGCCTGGTCTCAATTCCACTTTAAAGTAATTGCCTCTCTTAAGCCAGCATCAGTACTTTGTTTCTAAAATTAAGACACGTTTGGTCAGGTGTGGTGGCTCACGCCTGTAATCCCAGCACTTTGGGAGGTCGAGGTAGGTAAATCACGAGGTCAGGAGATGGAGAGCATCCTGGCTAACACGGTGAAATCACGTCTCTACTAGAAATACAAAAATTAGCTGGGAGTGGTGGCACGCAACTGTAATCCCCAGCCACTCGAAAGGCTGAGGCAGGAGAATCACTTGATCCCGGGAGCTGGAGGTTGCAATGAACCGAGATCACGCCAGTATACTCCAGCCGGGGTGACAGAGCAAGACTGCATCTCAAAATAAATAAAATGAAGCCAAGTTAAATTAAACTGGCTATTCAAATACAGAGATTGAGAAAAGACACAAGCTTGCCCAATGCCTGCCAGGAAAGAGACTGGAGGCTGGCCCAGGGCTTTTTGTGGAGAGACAGGACCTCAGTCTCTTACCTCTCCGCTACTTTTTTTTTTTTTTTTTTTGGATGCGAAATCTCACGGTGTGGCCTTGGCTGAAGTGCAATGGTGTGATCTTGGCTCACTGCAACCTCTGCCTCCTGGATTCCAGCAATTCTCCTGCCTCAGCTCTCAAGTAGCTGGGATTACAGGCACCCACCACCATACCCGGCTAATTATTTTGTATTTTTAGTAGAGATGGGATTTCACTACGTTGGTCAGGCTGGTCTCAAACTCCTGACCTTGTGATTTGCCCGCCTCAGCCTCCCAAAGAGTTGGGATTCCAGGTGTGAGCCACCACACCCAGCCACCCCTTTCCTCTTCTTTATCCATCCAGGCCTCATCAGCGATGCTTTGCAACTAGTCTCTAAAAACCTTTATAATGGAGCTGGGCTCAGGGGCAGAAGCCTTTAATCCCAGCACTTTGGGAGGCCAAGGCAAGTGGATCACCTGCTTTTCTTGCTTTGGTATATTCCAACCAAGGAATAGTTTGCCCCCAACCCAAGGCTTTTCTTACCTTGGTCCCGACCACAAGGAAATACTTTACCAGATCTCATGGGTGTCTTTCTTTTTTTGAGATGGAGTTTTGCTCTTGTTGCCCAGGCTGGCATGCAATGGCACAATCTCTGCTCACCGCAATTCTGCCTCCCGGGTTCAAACGCTCTTCTTCTTCTTCAGACTCCCAAGGAGCTGGGATTACAGGGATACACCACCACGCCCAGCTAATTTTTCATTTTTAATAGAGACGAGGTTTCTCCATGTTGGTCAGGCTGGTCTCGAACTCCCAATCTCAGGTGATCTGCTTGCCTCAGCCTCACAAAGTGCTGGAATTCCAGGTGTGAGCCACCGCGCTTGGCCTAATTTGTGTATTTTTAGTAGAGACAGGGTTTCGCCATATTGGCCAGGCTGGTCTCAAACTCCTGACCTCAAGTGATTCGTCCACCTTGACCTCCCAAAGTGCTGGCATTGCAGGCATGAGCCACCAGGCCCGGCCATGACAAATTTCTAGCTGAGGACATAAAATGATCCCGATACTGTCCCTAAGACACCCATACCGTCTGGGATGATGTCAGAGATACATCCTCCGGAGCATGGTCATTCCCAGAGTTCCAGAGTTCCGTACTCAAATGGCAATGCTTTATCTAGGATCGTGCTACCTGGGGAATGCCTGAAGGAGATACTCACAAGTGCGGAGTGCTTTTTCCCTAAAACTGACTCTGGAACTGCGTGAGGGGCTGTTCCCGATCAACAGTTCTTCCCTCGCTGACAAAAAGCTGTTGGATGTGTGGATGGCAGTTCCAAAGTGAAAGGACAGTCTCCCGTCTGGAAGGCAGCTCCTCTGACTGAGTACACTTCTGACAGCAGAACTCACCGTTCTCACTACGGGCGTTCTTCAAGATTTAGAAACTATTCATGAGTGTTATTTTGTGGCAATATAGTCATTTGCATTAAGTTCAGTAAGAGTTTGTTTTCTTTTGAAAATGGATACAGTTGGAGACCCTGGTTATTTTACCAAGGTTGTGAAAAGAATTACATATTTTTAGGTCAATTATCAGCAAAGCCAACTTAAAAAAGGGCCTATATGGCCAATCGATTCTTGCTGTATTTTCTAGAAACTACTCAGGCCAACATTAATAAGCCTAAAACTTATTTTGTACACAAATTGTTCTTTTTGAGTCGGTGTTTCGCTTGTCACCCAGGCTGGAGTGCAATGGCCATGATCTTGATTCACCACAACTACCACCTCCCATTCTCCTGCCTTGGCCTATTGAGTAGCTGGGATTATAGGCGCCCACCACCACTTCTGGCTGATTTTCGTGTTTTGATTTTTTTTGAGACGGAGTCTCCCTCTGTTGCCAGGCTGGAGTGCAGTGGCGCGATCGCCGTTCACTGCAATCTCCGACTCTCTGGCTCAAGCGATTCTCATGCCTCACCTTCCCAACTAGCTGGGATTACAGGTACCCACCACCATGCTTGGCTAATTTCTTTTTTTGCTTTTTGAGACAGAGTCTCACTCTGTCTCGGTCTGCCAAAGTGCCAGAATTACAGGCATGTGACCCTGTGCCTGGCCTAATTTTTAGTAGAGATGGGCTTTCAATCTGTTGGCCAGGCTGGTCTCCATCTCCTGACCTCAGGTGATCCGCCCGCCTTGGCCTCGAAAAGTGTTGGGATTATAGGTGTGAGCCACCGTGCTTGGCCATGGCCACCTTTTGTGAAAAATGAAGCTTTCCTTTCCAAACTTTAAATAAGTAACAAAATAAATGATACATACCAACAGAACACTGTATGTAGGAAATACACCCAGATAATATGTATACAGTTGAAAAATATAACAGTAATGCTGACAAAAGAGTCAAACTCTAGTATATTTGAAGAGATTTATTCTGGGCCTAATATCAGTGACCATAGCCCATGACACAGGCCTCAAGAGGTCTGGAGAACATGTGCCCAAGAGGTCGGGCAGCTTGATTTTATCCATTTAAGGGAGGCATGAAACATCAATCAAATACGCTTAAGAAATAAGTGGCCAGTGCACTGGGCACGGAGAATCATGCCTGTGATCCCAGGATTTTGGGAGGCTGAGGCAGGTGGACCTTTCGAGGTCAGGATTTGCAGGCCAGCCTGGCCAACATGCTGAAACACCGTCTCTACTAAAACTATAAAAATTAGCTGGGCGTGGTGGTACACCCTGTAACCTGAGCTGTTTGGGAGGCTGAGGCAGGAGAATTGCTTGAACCCAGGAGGCCGAGGTTTCGGTGAGCGAAGAACATGCCAGTGCACTCCAGCCTAGGTGACAGAGCCAGACTACATCTCCAAAAGAAAGGGAAATACATGGCCGGGCGTTGTGGCTCACACCTCTAACCCTAGCATTTCGGGAGGCTGAGGCAGGTGAATCACCTGAGGTCAGGAGTTCAAGACCAGCCTGGCCAACTTGGTGAAACCCCCCTCTCTACTAAAAATACAAAAATTAGCCGGGAGTGGTAGCATGCCTAGCTACTCAAGAGGCAGAGGTTGCAGTGAGCTGAGATCACTCCACTGCACTCCAGCCTGGCAACAAGAGCAAAACTCCACCTCAAAAAAAAAAAAAAAAAAAAAAACGAATTGGAGAAGTCACAAATCTTGTGGCCTGTAGCCATATGACCCCTGAGCAGTGAGGGGTTATAGAAACTACACCCATCAGGTGATCTCTATTTTGTGACCTCGGGCCAGAGTACACCTGAGCTGTAAGGAATTACAGAACACCACCGATCCCTTAGCAGAATTGAGGCCCCTCCTCATCATCCTAATCCTATGGCCTTTCCTGGATTTTAAAAAGCCAGTATTCAGTCCCTGAGCAAGGAAGGGGTTAGTTTCAGGAAGGGGCTGTCATCATCCTTGCTTTCAAGTTAAGGTTTTAACTAAATTCCCACTTTTGTTATCATGGCCTAAGCCCCGGACTAATCAAAGGTAGCTTGGAGATCAGAAGCAAGATAGACTCAACTATGTCAGGTTTCTCTGATGTCACAGTTACGCAAAGGTGGTCTCATAGGGACTTTGAGAGTGTTTTTTTCTTTCAGAGTCTCAGTCAGTTGCCCAGGCTGGAGTATAGTGACACAGTCTTGGCTCACTACAACCTCTGCCTCCTGGGTTCAAGTGATTCTCCTGCCTCAGCCTCCCAAGTAGCTGGGATCAGACATGCGACACCATGCCTGAGATTTTGTGAGATTGTCATCACGGAAAAACCTCGTCTCTACTAAAAATACAAAAATCAGCCAGGCTTGCTTGCACGTGCCTGTAGTTCCAGCTATTTAGTAGTTGAGACTCGAGACTCACTTAAGACCTGAAAAGACTGCAGTGAGCCCAGACGGCATCACTGCACTGCACTCCAGCCTGGGTGACAAAATGAGATTTTGTCTCAAAAAAAAAAAAAAAAAAGAATGAGTGGGAATGCCTTAAAATGATCTAATTTTATCTGGTTGCTTTGATGTTCTGCAGCTGAACCTCAGTCACACAGACAGCTTAGCTCCTTGCTTTTCCATCGGCAACTCAATAACTAAAGGCTTCTGATGTATAAATTGTTAAAACAGGTTAATCAAGACGGGCGCGGTGGCGCATGCCTGTAGTCCCAGCTACTCGGGAGGCTGAGGTGGGAGGATCGCTTGAGCCCAGGAGTTCTGGGCTGCAGTGCGCTATGCTGATCGGGTGTCCGCACTAAGTTCGGCATCAATATGGTGACCTCCGGGGAGCGGGGGACCACCAGGTTGCCTAAGGAGAGGTGAACCGGCACAGGTCGGAAACGGAGCAGGTCAAAACAGGTTCATCAATGACAGAGGACACCAGAAAGTTTTCATTCAGGTTCTCTTTATTTCTGATGTTTCTTTGTAACCTTCCTTGCAGGGATAACATTTTCATTACTGGGGAACTTTAGCTTCTAGTTCTGACTCTGGGTCTTGCCCCCTGCTTTTGTTAGTTCCTCTCACGCTGAGCACCTGCCTGAAGCAGAGAGACCTGTGCTTCCTTTAAGTGTCACGTGTGGCCTGGGCACAGCGGCTCACACCTGTAATGCCAGCCCTTTTGGAGGCCGAGGCAGGAGAATGTCATGCACCCAGCGGTTTGGGACCAGCTGGGGCAACAAAGCGAAATCCTGTGTCCAATTTTTTAATAAAAATTTTAAAATTATTTCAAAAGGAAAAACAAAAACAAAAATAACTTGCATCTGCATTCTACATTTTAGTGTCCAAGTACCTCGGAGAAAACTGGATTGATCTACCCTGCCAGGCATACCTTCCCTAGCAGCAAAGATGGTGCTCCAGTTCCTCAGATGGCGATGAGCCACAGGAAGGACAGGGGGTGGGACCAAGGAAGACACTCCTTGGGCTGCCTCACTTCCCTCAGTGTCCACATCGACTCAGCCCGAGGTCAGGATCTCCCAGTTGACATTAACCCAGGAATGGTAACTCTCCCGAGGGGCAGGATACATCTCTAGGCTTAACTTGCTCAGCCCATGGGTGTGGTGCGGCAGGTGCTTCGGGTCGTCCACAGTCACCCGCTTTCCACCAAAGCAGAAGGTGGTGAGCTGGGAGCAGTGGCTCAGGGCAGGCAGGCAGGCACAGGGTTGGGAGCAGTTGGTCAGACAGGGCTCCAAATTGAGGGTCTCCAGAGTGGCAGCAACTTTCTGAAGCAGAACTGTGAGGGGCTCAAGGCTGACTCTGGACAGACACACATTGCCGAGATTAGGATGCTTCAGGTACCTGAGGCTTGGGTACTGTGAGAAGCACTTTAAATCCTCTTTCAATAGTTTGCTCCGAGCTAAATCCAAGCCCTCTAAAGGGTTCTGGAGGTACCTGGGGAGATCAAGAAGTTAGTTCTGGACAGTGGTACCAAGTAGATGAAGGCAGTAGGGAATAAGCTCCACCCGAACACAAGTGTGTTCCCATCATCTGATGATGGTCCGCATGCAAGTCACTGTGTGATGAGGACTCTGATCAATCAGGGGCAGTCCCATTTTAGGCTTAGCCTTCTCACCGTTGCTTGTGGGATTGATTCAAGCCTGCAAAATCTCTAAAGCCTGTTCATGTTTTAGCAGTAAACTTCATCTCTGGTCCAGAGGACCCCAGTGGGAAACGTGCACAAAGAACCCACCTGAGCAAGGTAGAGGGACGTCAGCGGGGCTACCTGCCGGCAGGGGCTCCCTGACATGCCCGCATCTGCAAACCACCTGCCACTTTTTACCATTCTCAAGCCTGCTCCCTGACCCCCATATCCCGGAGGCATGCATTTCCCATGTCAATTACTTTCCCTGGAGTTCAAAACCACCTTTTACAGACCGGGCATCAGAGACAGCATCATTCAGGGTCACGAAGCTGCTGAGGACAGAGCTTCTGCTGTGAAAGGCACAGGTTGGATTTGCTTTCCCACCTCACACACCTTCCTCTGTGTTTCCTGTTCTACACCATCATGTCAACTTTAAACATACTTTGTAACAAGAAACTCACACGTGTACCCTCAGTAGAGCTGAAACCCCCACTAACTAGCTTGTACATAATGTCCCTTTCCAGCCTCTACCTCAAGAGACCCTTCTGCCTTTATTGGAGCGGTCCTGCGAGAGCCACTCCAGGACATGGAGCACTGAACAGGGCAATGTGCTGACATTCTGGTGTCCCCTTCCCTGTTCCATCACCACTGGCTGGCACACAGGACACGCCTTTCAGTGTTTGCTGTCACAGAAAGAGGCTGTGCTGTGGTCCGCAGAGAAAGTGCGCTATCCTTTCTCACCTGATCAGCTGTTCCAGGTGCCCGCTGAAGGAGGTGACCATTTCTATTCTAAGCATCTGGAGGTGTTCCAGGCTGAGAAACAGAGCTGAATTTGGCTACTTAACTGTTCCTGGATGTCACGGTCTGTTGTGTAATCATAGCACCTGTAGAAAACGACTTTGCCAAGATTCTTCATCTCCTTCAGGTAAGAAGGACGCTTTCTTATCAGACGCGGCCAGCACAGGTCTTAAATTTCCAGCTCCTGAATGCTACTCAGGGGTATTACTTTCAATGACTTCCTGAGATATTTAATCTGTGTTAGATGATTCACCAACTTACTACAGCAAAGCGGAATCTCAGGCATTCATCCTGGAGTAGTTCCTCGATACAGACGTCTATGACCACCTTCCAGGGCTGGTGCTCTGCCGTCCTTGGACAGTCCTGTCGTCGGCCTCTTACTCACGGCCTCTGGGGAGCAGGACAGGACGCTGGTCCAGAAATTCTCATCAACATCCTGCAAATCCAGCACTTGAAGTTTCCACCTCCTGTGGGTAAAATAAGGGTGGGGCTCGGCATTTAGAAGGACCCCTCCCCGCCCTTTGCTTCATTCGCAGCCCATAAATCAGCTGCTCCTGTCCTCGGTGCTCCCTGGTTTGTCTTTTCTGGATCCCTCTCTCCCTTTCCATTCTGACTGGTCCCCACTCCGAGTCCCTTTACTCTCCACTGGGAAAAGGCAGGTTTGTTCCTGTTCCCACAGGGGGCCCTGTGTGGCGAGCAGTCATTTCCCTGAGGATCTGGGCAATGGCCAAGGCCTCCCTGAGCTTCCTCACCTGCACCAGCAGGAGACTCTGGGCCATTCCTGGGCTACTTCTCCGCCTGATGCTGCTGTTCTTTCCCTGGACACCTGACCCCTGTCTACCAGCCCTCCTGGGTCACCTCACCTGGGATGAACCTTCTGTGTCAGCAGCATATGGAGCCCCTCCAGCAATGCTTTTAAGGTCTCCAGATGAAGGCTCTTCATCAGCGATCCCAGTGGGAGGCGGGTGAAGGGCCAGGCCTGCACCATCAGCGGCAGAGTCTGGAAGTGTCTCCTGCTGACGGCCTCCATGAACAGTGCGGGGAAGAGCTCCCTGGGCAGCTCCTCCACGGCAGAGATGGCCAAGGCCTGGTCTCTCAGCAGGCTCTGCCCTGCCAGGTCCAGGAGTCCGGGTGGGGCCTGGATGCTCATCCTGATGAATCTGCGAGGAAAGCCCTAGAGGACACATCCGGGGAGAAGGTGTCAGTCTCAGAGCAAACACAGTTACCTCGTCTTCTCCTAGGGCATCATTGCAGAAAAGTCATGAGTTTACCCCAATTTCACTCTGTACTTGGTGGCCACAAATCTTTCTGCTTCTGCTGCTACCAGGAAGAATGTCCTCAAAACACCAAGGAGGAGTCAAGGAGACACTGGCCCCTTAATTTTCATCCATTGCTCCTCTGAACCCCAGTACCACCCGAAAGTGTCACTGAGGATCCTGAAAGCTAAGCTCCACCTCTTTGAGGAAACATTTCTTGTCCCTTACCACCCTAAAGCCATGAGGATGAGAGTGTCACACATCCCCAGACAGTCTACATTCTCAGTTTACACCATCAATATGCTTGCGGAGGACTAAAGGGGCTCCCTTAAATAGATGCCATGATTTATTATGAAAAATTTCAAGTAGAAACTGACCAGGTGATGTGGCTCATGTCTGTAATCCCAGTACTGAGGGAGGCCAAGGCAGGCAGATCACTTGAGGTCAGGAGTTAGAGAAGAGCCTGGCCTACGCAATGAAACCCTGTCTCTAATGAATATTTTAAAAATTAAGAATCGTTTGACTCCAGAATGCAGAGCTTGCAGTCAGCTGAGATTGCATCACTATACTGCAGTCTGGGCAATGGAGTTAGACTATGTCACAGAAAAACAATGAATGAATTAAAATATTAGCCAGGCATCATGATGGTGCATGCCTGGAATCCTAGCTACTCTGGAGGCAGAGAAAGGAGAATCACTTGAACTGCAGAGGCAGAGTTTTCAGTGAGCTGAGCTCAGGGCCCTGCACTCCAGCCTGGGTGACAGACTGAGAAGAGAAAAAAAAATTAACCGGAAACTGTACAAGTGGTCAGATGGTTTCCTAGAGCATTTGGAAGATAGGAATAGAAATACTAACTCTAGCCAGGGCATAGTGATTCACACCTGTAATCCCAGCACTTTGAAAGTTTGAGGCAGGTGGATCATCTGAGGTCAGGAGTTTGAGGCCAGCATGGCCAACATGGTAAAACCCCATGTCTACTAGAAATACAAAAATTGGTTGGGCGGGGTAGTGGGCGCCTGCAATCCCAGCTGCTCAGGAGGCTGAGGCAGGAACTGAACCATGTTGGTGAACATGACAAGGCACAAAGCAGGAAGCCCCGCAGCTGCTGCTCTGGACCTAAAGATGCACCTGGGACTTCTGGGTGGTGACGCCGCCCGGCTGGCAGAGAGAGATCTGACTCCTGTGGTTCTCCCAAGGGTGCCAGGATGATGGCAGAGCCTGGGACAGGACCCAGTGCAGGAGCCATCCCTTCCCAGGCTCTTCTGGCCCAACCTTAAAACTGACAAGGCTGCACCTGGAATGCAGTCCGTCTGTTTCTGCCGGAGTCAGGTCTCTTCTTAGCCTGAGGTGTCTCCCTCTGCAGGTTTCTAAGTCAAGGTCTGTTTTCTGGCCCTGCTGGCCTCCTCGAGTCCTCGACACAGTCTGATTTCAGGTCAGATTCATAAACATCTTGGTCTAAACCAGGGGCTGCCCTTCTTTCTTCCTCCAACAAACAACTGAGCACAAAGTCACCCTGAGAGCAGTTGATGCTGAGGGAAGTGTTTGGAGCATCCCAGGGGTTGGGGAGCTCTGGGGACTCATCCAGGCTGGATAAAGCAATTGTGGTGAAGAAAAAGAACAAAGCCCAGAGAGGGAGTGGCCAGGAGGAGCTGCTAGGGCCCAAATAAAGAGGGAGGAGGGAGGTGGCGTCGGGGCCGCGGACCAGGTTCTCTGGCTCTCACAGAGCTCTTTCCCTCAAAGGTTCTGTGTCTGAGATCCCAGGGAAAGCAGGGCTTGGGCATAGGGCTGTTAAGTTCATAAGGCCCTCGGTTTGCCCTGGTCTGCATGAGGTCCCAGGGGCTGCCCCACCTCACCACAGGGGCAGAGATCAGGCCAGTGAGAAGTGCTGAGGAGGAAGAGTGGGTGGCAAGTGTCCATCCCTAATGCCAAGACGAGGGACAGGAAAGAGAAAAGCAGCCTTGGCATGAGGCCAGGGGAAGGGACGCTCTTTGGAAAGTATGAAGCTCTGTGTCTTCTCCTTACCTGTCAGAGCCTTATGGGACCATAATGATTGGGCTTTACAGGAGAGGATAAAGCAGAATGGGTTCCGGCTCAGAGTCCCTGTGTTCAACTGACCCCGAATCTCTTCCTACAAGCCAAGGAAATGCCATGAGGGATGAAAGTCTAGCCAGCGCCCATCGGGCTGTTCCTCCACTTTCCAGTGAATCCAGAAGAGGCACCATGATCCTCAGAAAAATTCTGCAATTTTCAGTTCTGAGGCTCAACAGGAGGCCCCAGAGGGAAGACTCCAGGAAAAGTCCAAACTGAAGATTCTGGAACATGTAACCCGGCCCCAAAATACACAGCTTCCCCATTTCTCCTTTCCCCTTAATTCATTCAAAATTTTTTACTGTGTCTAGAATATTCCACCCGCTATTCCGGGTGCAACTGAGGGAGACAAAGTAAAAGTGAGGAAGCTGCAGAATGGACTCAACAGAGCAGACCCGGCTTGGCGCCGATGCACAGGTCAGAACAAATGGCTGGTGACGGTGAAGTGTGCAGAGCGATCCTAATAATCCATGGAAAAAATGAGTTTTCCCGTGTCCACAGTTTAGCAGAGCCAAGAAGAGAAACAATAGGATCTTTTCAATCGATGCTGAAAAAGCACTCAATCAAACTCAACATCTATTTCTTTTTTTTTTTTTTTTTTGAGGCAGATATTTGCTCTTGTTATCCAGGCTGGTGTGCAATGGTGAGATCTCACCTCACTGCAACTTCCACCTCCTGGGATCAAGTAATTCTCCTGCCTCAGCCTCCCAAGTAGCTGGAATTAAAGGTGCTCGTCACCACGCCCAGCTAATTTTTGTATTTTTAGTAGAGACTGGCTATCACCATGTTGGTCAGGCTGGTCTCGAACTCCTGACCTCAAGTGATCCACCCACCTCAGCCTCCAAAAGTGCTGGGATTACAGGCATGAGCCATTGTGCCTGGCCAACATCTCTCTACGTTAAAACTCCCCACAAGCTGGGTAGAGAAAAACATGCCTCAAAATAATCGAGGCTATTTTTGACAAACCCACAACCAACATCATACTGAATAGGGGAAAACGGAAAGCTTTTTTTTTTTTTTTTTGAGATCTGGAACAAGACTAAGATGTCCACTTTAACCACTTTTAAAAAATATAATATTGAAAGTCCTGAGCAGAGCAATAAGGCAAGAGAAAGAAAGAAAGGACATCCAAGTTGGAAAGGAAGAAGTCAAATTAGCCTTGTATGGAGATGACATATTTATTTAGAAAAGCCTAAAGACTTCAACAAAAAGTTTTAGTAAAATCATAGGATGCAAAGTCAACATACAAAATCAGTAGCATTTATGTATGCCAACAGCAAACAGTCTTAAAAACTGTTACATGAAGAAATCAATTCCATTTTCAATAGCTACAGAGAATATAAAATACCTTTTCTGGTGTGTTTGACATTCCATCCGTTATCAAAAGCTTGTTCTACCTGCAGCCCAGGGGCCACATGCTGCCCAGGAGCTCCTTGAAGGTGTGTAAATAGTTCCAGGGGGGAGCCCTACCTGTTCTGGGGGTCTACATTTGCAACGCGCTAGTCTAACTGCCCCATGAAAATGTAGTTGAGCAAAGGGAGCTGCAATCTTAGGGTAAGAGGATGGCTGAACACATCAGTTAATAGATTTGGATTAATTAGGTGAGGAGGATGATGGGAAAAAATGGTTGATGTCAAATCAGTCACCATAATTCTTTTTACTTTCCTCAATTATTTCAATTATTTCTTCAGCAATTTATTCCTTCTTTGTCTTTAGTATTTTACAGAAGCTCCTTTGGAATGAGTGAGTCTTTTAGAATCCTCCAAAAATCAATTCCTAAAAATGCATTTGTTTCAGAATTTCTTCTTTTTCAATGAGTCCTATTATTCTCTTGGTAAACACTTTTTTTTTTTTTTTTTTTTTAGTTTGTGGCTGTTACCAAAAAGTGCTTTATATGTCTAACCTTTGCCTTTCTACCCAAATAGGTGGACATTACCAGAGACACTAAGTTTGTAGTGACCAAAAAGAGGAAAGTTTAATCTGGAAAAGTTGCTCATTTACAGGACAGTGATTATGGACAGACCAAAGTGTGGTCTGTCCATACAGTAGAACACCGCACAGTAATAAAGAAGGAAGAAACTACCTATGCACACGACAATGTAGACAATTCTCAAAATCACCAGTCAGAACAAAAGAAACCAGACACAAAGACAGCATCCTGTATGCTGCCATTTCTATGACATTCCAGAAAATGGTTTAAACAGACCAATCCAACTGGGCTCAGTGGCTGATGCTTATAATCCCAACACTCTGGGAGTACAAGGCAGGTAGATGACTTGAGGTCAGGAGTTTGAGACCAACCTGACCAACAGTAAAACCCCGTCTCTACCAAAAATACAAATTAGCCGTGTGTGGTACTACACGCCTGTAACAGCAGCTACTTGGGAGGCAGAGGCAAGAGAATCACTTGAACCCAGAAGGCAGAGGTTGCAGCGAGTCAAGATCGTGCCATTGCACTTCAGCCTGAGCAACAGAGCTAAAATACGTCTCAAAACAGCACCACCACCACCAGCAATTGCTCTCACAAACTAAACATGGGTGATGAAACGCAAAGGATACAATATCTCCTGGGAGTGATGAAAACAGACTGTGTCAGAAGGCTGGCGACTCCAAGTGAAAACACGTCACAACTCATCAAACTGCACTCTTGAAATGCGCATTATTTTGTCAATAGATTATAATGATTTTTAAGATCTAAATGAATCTACATCTATCTGAAAACTAACATCTTGTTCATTAATAAACACTGAAGATAGATATCTGAAGGATGGCACTTACCTAATTTTTTTTTTTTTGAGACGGAGTT